AGTAGATATTTGAGCTTTTTTCATCCATTTTGGGTCATTTTATTTGATTATTTCTTTATATGGGTAAACGTCTTTGAGCGCATGTTACAGTGTTTTGAAATTTTTCATTTGTTTGCTCTTTCGTTTCCCAGTCAAATTTTAAGTGTTCTCTAAGCCATCGTATCTGCTAGCGTAAATCTGGGACTGTTTACGAGTTATCGCTACTATCGTACTTCCATTTAAAGCTAAAATGTAATTGTTTGTGGTCGCTAGCACCCAGTTCCTCTGAAATTTCTAAATTATTAACAAGGGATTCATTTTGCCATAACTAAGCAAGAGTTATTTCCCTTGTAGGTTTTTCTGTCCAAAGGCTTCAAAAAACCATCCTGAAATACCTAAGAAGTCGTTTGATTCTAAATTCCAGTCAAGAAATTCATTTAAAATGACAAAGTTAAAGTCTCCTAGAATTACTACATTATCGTCCTTGTGGCCTTACAATTTCCTCCCATAGTAGTTTCCCTTGGGCCCTATCTAAGTTTGGGACGGTATATCACTCCTAAATCAGTTTTTCATGCCCTCTGAAAATTCTATCCAAACAAAACTCTGTATGTGTTTACTTTAGACTTTACCGTTTTTTGAACGTTCAAGCGTCTCGGGACTACAATGCCAACCCCTAAAAAACTTCTATTTCTTGGCAATTTAAAAATGTGTAAACGTTCCAGGATGTCCGACTGAAATTAAACCACGTCTCAAGTTAAGGAAAAACCTTCTACCAAAAGTTGCTAACCACCCTAATTTCCTCCTTCTTAGTTATATTTCACCTCTTTTATTTTTATTGCCACCCTCTGGTCCCTCCCCCCTCTTACTAACTGAGACAACTAAAAAATCCGAAATATCAGTACCCTTAAAAATGTACAACCTGGGCTACCCTCAAACCCTTTATCCCCCAAACATAATTCTAATTAACTACTTCCATGAATTACCTTGAATTGTATTATCATTTTTTTAAAAAAACTATTACCAAAACTTTCAACAAGTCATTAAAAGTTCCTATTTCATTTACCCTGGCCCCATTTACCTGCTACTCCCTCCCAATTAATTTACCACTTTTGATTGAAATCCCCCACCAAAAATAAATCTACACTTGGTCAAAATTTTAACCCTAATATTTCCCAGAAAATTTCCCCTCTTTACACTTCTACACTTCTCTCATCTATACTTCTCTCTTCTCCAGGTGCTTAAACACTTACTGTAACCCACTTTTTCAAATCCAACCTTTATTTTACTCCACATAATCCTTGAATTATATATTTATATTTTCTTTTCCTGCCATTACTTATCCTTCAACATTATTGCTACTCCTTCTTTAGCTCTAACTCTATTTGAAACCCCTGACCTAATCCCATTTATTCCTCTCCACTGAAACTCTCCCACCCCCTTCAGCAATGTTTCCCTTAAAGCCAGAACATCCAGCTTCTTCTCATTCATAACATCCACAATCATCTCTTTCTTATCATTCGCACAACATCCACGCACATTCAGATATCCCACTTTGATGGCTTTCTTCTTTTCTTTTTAGTAAGCTATGCGGGGAAAAGGTGTTATTAGCCGATTGTTCCCGACATTTTATTTGACTTTTACAACACGCATGGCTTATGGAGGAAAGATTCTTATTCCACTTCCCCATTGATGTTAAAGAAAAGCTATAAGAACAGGAACTATTAAGATGAAGTCAAAGAAAACTCAGATGGGTAGCAAGACGTACCTGAAATCTTGCAGGTTTATGAGACAGAAAAAAGACACCAGCAATCCTATCATCATGTAAAACAAATACAGGTTTCCTATTTACCCTCACTTGCTAGGACAGTAGTACCTCCCTGAATAACTGCTGTCTACCATTATATATATATATATATGCAATAAGATCACAGTAAACAGGTGATTTCAAAATATGCAAAACAACCACTCTGAAAGAATAGAGAAATTCCAAGCGCTTTCGTGACTACTCACATTATCAAGGAACTATCTAGTTCCTTGATAATGTGAGTAGTCACGAAAGCGCTTGGAATTTCTCTATTCTTTCAGAGTGGTTGTTTTGCATATATATATATATATTTTATATATATATATATATATATATATATATATATATATATATAATATATATATATATATATATTCTTCTTTCAACATACCAGCCGTATCCCACCGAGGCGGGGTGGCCCAAAAGAAAAAACTAAAGTTTCTCTTTTTAAATTTAGTAATATATACAGGAGAAGGGGTTACTAGCCCCTTGCTCCCGGCATTTTAGTCGCCTCTTACAACACGCATGGCTTACGGAGGAAGAATTCTGTTCCACTTCCCCATGGAGGTAAGAGGAAATAAACAAGAACTAGAAAGAAAATAGAAGAAAACCCAGAGGGGTGTGTGTGTGTATATATATGCTTGTACATGTATGTGTAGTGTGACCTAAATGCAAGAAGAAGTAGCAAGACATACCTGAAATCTTGCATGTTTATGAGACAGACAAAAGACACCAGCAATCCTATCATCATGTAAAACAAATACAGGTTTCCTATTTACCCTCACTTGCTAGGACAGTAGTACCTCCCTGAATAACTGCTGTCTACCATTATATATATATATATATGCAATAAGATCACAGTAAA